GGCCTAGTGACTTCATCTCCATCTTGTCTGGTGCAACAGCCCTCATCCATGGGCCTGGAAACCTGTGTGGGCATTCTATCACTTTCTCAGCATGCCCCTCCCCATTGTGCATTCTGTCCCTGGTGAAGTAACCAAAGGATGGGTTCAGTGACCCACAGGACCCACTGGGAGATGGGCCTGGGCCAACACTCCTGACCCCTGCACTACATATTGGGACCACATGGATGGTTTGGGTCTCTTGTCATTAGTGTCAGTTCAGAGCCAGTGTCCAATAACCTCCACAAAGTCTGATAACTGACTCAAGTTTGGGAGTTTACTGAGAGACCATGATAATCTGTGTTTGTTTCTTTGTTGGAAACGAGGTCTCACTCTGTTGCCCAGGCTAGGGTGCAGTGGCTCACGGCAGTGCTCACTGATCAGGACTCACTGCAGCCTCAACCTCCTGGGCTCAGGTGATCCTCCCTCCTCAGCCTCCCAAGTAGCTGGGACTACAGGTGCCACCACACCAGGCTATTTTTTAAATTTTTTGTAGAGACAAGGTCTCACTATGCTGCCCAGGCTGGTCTTGAACTCCCGGACTCAATCAGTCCTCCTGCCTTGGCCTCCCAAAGTGTTTGGGATTACAGGTATGAGCCACCGTGCCTGGCTGACACTCTATGTTTATGATTCAAATTAGAGTTCTGTTCACATGACCTAGAAGTCTGCTTATACAGAAATTTAGTGTTTCCCATCTATTTCTCTCCCAGGAAGACAGTGACCAGCTAACCAACATTATAGGTCTTTCAGGGCAAAACTCTCCTGGTTATGCTGTTGCCTGTGCTGTCCACTGCTCCCATCCTGCCCGCCATGTTTTTGGTGAAATGGGTACCACTTGGCCTTTCCCACCCCGGGGTCCAATGAGCCTCATCACGTTTAGGTTTTCCAACGCAGAGGCAGCAGTTCCCATTGTAACTTTTTTTTTTTTTTTTTGAGTCAGAGTCTCCCTCTGCACCCAGGCTGGAGTGCAGTGGCAGGCTCAGGGCCACCGCAGCCTCAACCCACTGGGTTCAGGTGATCCTTCCACGTCAGCCTTCCAAGTAGCTGGAGCTACAGGCACCAAGGAGACTGACACTGAATGGGCACCAAATGGAACCAAGGAGAAATATAGTAATTGAAAAAAAGTAAAAGAAATTATGGACAAGTAGCAGAATGGAATAGAGGTGAAGAACACAATAGTGGCTTTTTAGACCAGGTTGAAGGGCAGAGAGAGAAAAGCTTTAAAGACATGCTAAACGATATGGGGCCAGAAATGCCAATGCTAACATTAAAGCCTCAGGAGGAAAGAAAAACGAGGGAGGAGAAAATATGTAGATATATACTAGAGACAGGTTTTAGGAAATTTAAAATATCTGAAGGACCTCAGATTCAAAGTTCCCATTAAGTATCATTGAGGAGAAAGAAGGAAAAGCCAAGAAACAAAATTAGAAATGTCACTGGCAAAGAGTACATGCTAAGAGTCCTGGAGAGAAAGCATGGCCAACATACTAAGGGAAAGAACGTCGGACCTAAAATATGAGCTCAGCCCAGCACTTTGGTTGTGGACATTGATAGCCCTGTCTAGACAATGCACCACACCATCCTCCTATGTTGCTTAAGGGAGTGTGAATTGGTATCCTTACTTTAGCAAGCGTTTCAGCAATATGGATTGATTTATTGATTGGAGTGGAGTAGCAGGATCAGGGCTCACCTCAACCTCTACTTTCTGTGTCAGGCAATCCTCCCGCCTCAGCCTCCTGAGTTGGGGAGGAGGGAACGTGTGTGGATTTCTCATTTAAGATCTGCCCACCCACCCTGGGGGACTCTGGAGCACATCTTTCACTTCAGCATGAATTTGTGAGAGGAGCCCCAGCATTCTTGAAGAGCTCTACGGTCTCTTGTCTGTAGGTCAGAAGTTACGGCGAAGCTGGGTGCGGTGGCTCACACCTGTAATCCCAGCACTTTGGGAGGTGGAGGTGAGAGGATTACCCGAGTTCAGGAGTCTGAGAACAGCCTGGGCAACATGGCAAGAACTCGTCTCTACAGTAAATCTAAAAGTCAGTCCTTGATCTACATTTTAAATCCAGAATCTTAGCCAGGTATGGTGGCTCATGCCTGTAATCCCAGTACTTTGGGAGGCTGAGGTGGGAGGATTGCTTGAACCCAGGAGTTTGGGACCAGCCTGGGTAACATAGAGAGACTTCTCTACAACCAGGCATAGTGGCATGTGCCTATAGTCCCAGCTACTCAGGAGGCTGAGGCAGGAGGATCGCCTGACACAGAAAGTAGAGGCTGAGGTGAGCCTGATCCTGCTACTCCTCTCCAGCCTGGGTGGCACAGTGAGATTCCACCTCGACCTGAACTTAAGATTCCATCTTATGTGCAGCCTTGGAATCTGTGACCGGGAGGACCGCCACAAGCTCTCCTACTCTAGCTGGAAGTGCCCTCACTCTGTGGCTCCCACCTGGTTAGCTCCCAGCAGCTGGGTCAGCTGCACTCCAGGGCCTCAGTCTAATGGGGTTCACTTCCTGCCAGCCTGTGAAACTAGTAAAACAAGGTAATCCCATCCTCCCATGGGAACCAGAGTTCACCCCACCCTCTTGTTTCTACTAAGCCAGCCTCTCACAGTCCCTGCTGTTCACGCTGTCCTAAGTGCACGCCCAGTGTCTGCCTGCATGGAGCGTGGCATTCTCCCTCTCTAGGCAGTGCATATCTGTGGTTAACCAACTGTCATCAGTCACATACGTCCAGTGTTATGTGCCGAGCGTTCAGCCATCCTCATAACCCTAGGGTGGGAATCCCTCCCTCACCAATGGTGTGAAGAGAAGGCAGATGAAACACTGTGTCCACTTTGAGTTCAGCATCTTTCTTTAGACCTTTTTTTTTTTTGAGTTGTAGTCTCACTGTTGCCCAGGCTGGAGTACAGAGGCACACTCACAGCCAACCCCAGCATCGACCTGCTGTGCTCACGTGATCTTTCCACCTCAGTCTTCCAAGTAGCTGGAACTACAGGTGTGCACTACCATGCCAGGCTTGTTTTTTGATATATTGTAGAGATGAGGTCTCACTAAGTTGCCCAGGCTGGTCTCAAACCCCTGAGCTCAGGCAATCCTCTCACCTTGGCCTCCCAAAGTGCTGGGATTACAGGCTTGAGCCACTGTGCCCAGCCTTAGAACTTTTTTTTTTTTTTTTTGAGTTGGAGTCTCATTCCGTTGCCCAGGCTGGAATGCAATGGCACACTCACAGCCACCTCAGCGTCAGCCTGCTGGACTCTGGCGATCCTTACACCTCAGCCTTCCACGCACGCTACCACTCCGGCTAACTTTTTATTTATTGTAGAGATGAGGTCTTGCCAAGTTGCCCAAGATGGCCTCGAACCCATGAGCCCAGGCAATCCACTGGCCTTGGCCTCCCAAAGGGCTGGGATTACAGGCTGAGCCACTGAGCCCAGCCCAAACCTGCTTCTGTTTCTGGATTCCTCCCATAGTTCCATAGTTCCCTGAACACAAGACCAAACCAGATCCCCATCATCCCCTCCTTTTCCCTCACCCCCTCTGTATAGTAAGAGGGTGACTCAGCAGAACCGTGGTGCTCAAATGCTGCCCATTCCAAGCAAAGGGCTCACCCTCGAATAATTTCTGGGTCATAATATCTGATGTCTTGAAGCTGGGTGCAGTGGCTCACACCTGTAATTCCTTGGGAAGCCAAGGTGGGAGGATTGCTTCAACCCAGGAGTTTGAGACAAACCTAGGCAACATAGTAAGACCTCATCTCTACAAAAAATAAAAAATTAGGCATAGTGGTGTGCCTGTAGTCCCAGCTACTTGGGAGGCTGAGGTGGAAGGACTCCCCGAGTATAAGAGGTAGAAGCTGTAATGAGCCATGATTATGCCGCTGTACTCCAGCCTGGGCAACAGAGTGAGACCCTGCCTCAAAAAAAAAAAAAAAAATTCTAATGGTTTGGAATATTCTGCCTGAGTGGCATGGTGTTCCTGGGGCCTCCGGCCATGCCAGATAATTTATGCTGACAATTTGAATTATAATGAATACCTGTTTTTGTACATCTGGGACTGTAGATCATGCTGTATCTGTGTGACCTCTGATGAGGCGGGAGACTGAGTAGTGATGGTTATTTAAGCTCTCCATGCCTATCAACAGACACCCAGTAAAAACGCTGGACACTGAGGCTCAGGGGCACTTCCTTAGTTGGAAACACTTCACATGTTGTCACATATTTGCCAGGAGAACTGAGTGCTGTCCCTAAGATTCCACTGGGAGGACAACTGCAAGTGTTCCCCTTTCTTCTCTACACTCCAGCCTGTAGCCCTGTTTCCTTTGCTGATTTTAATCTGCATCCTGTTCCAGTAATAAACATAATAAACCCCAGTCTAACAGTGTAAGTTATCTAAGTTGTATTAGGAAATTATCAAGTCTGGCGGTGGCCTGGGGGATCCCAAAACACCTCTTTCAGTGAATCAGCTTCCAGAAATACCAGTGTCTCCCCTTAGTCTCCCCCCACATACAACACAAAGGCCCCCCTTCTTCTGCTCACAATCTTCTCTCGGCTTCCTGGTGGCCCCAGGACAGAGTAGGCTAAGTTCTCAGCTCCATCCTTGCTGTGTGTCTCATGTTGTGCCTCCAGGGTCTGCTCAGTGCTCCATGGAGAGTGTCACTGTGTGTCACTGTCCACTCTCCCAGGGTGGGCCCACTCCTCCAAGTCCACACCACACACCACCACAGCTAGCCATCTTTTATGTGTGTCCTTGAAGAACCTGAGCGAGAAGTCTCCAGACATTGCCAATGGTCCCAGGAAGGGGGATAGGACAACATCACACCCATTTGAGTCTACATCTGTGTCTGCCCCTTCCTAGGACACAGGTTGGGAGAACTGAGGAGGCGCTGGCTTTGGCCAGATGAGTCCTAAGCTTGCAGGCGCCCGGTGTTTAGGAAGGCTGTGTGATGCCAAAACTTGATGGGGCTTCGACTTTACTAGAGGTGGGGGTGGGTGGGCATGCTCAGGGGTTGGCTGCAATGGTGTCCTTGATCCACTTCTGGTAACACACCACCTTGGTGTACAGGGCAGGCATCTGGGGCATGGCACATGGCACACTGCCCCAGGACGTGATGCCTTGAAGCACGCCATCACAGACCAGTGGACCCCCAGAATCACCCTAAGGATCAAAGGAGAGGGGTAGAGTGAGAAAGGTCGGCTGGGGCTACTCCATCCCTCACACCTGGGCTGGCAGATGGACAGCAATTCTCCAGCTCCAGGAAGAGAGAGAAATGCCTCCAGAGCCTACTCTCACAAGAGGGTAGGCAGGGTTTCCAGCAGAGGGATAGCAGCTTGACTGCTGGGGGAAGGACCTCAGGGGCAGGGTCCAAGAGGACAGTTCCTGCAGACAGGCCCGCAGCAAGAGAATCAGAACCATCTGCAGGAGCCCCCACCTCCCACAGGGTCATCTCAGAGGCCACCTCTCCAGGTGGCTTTCTCTGACTAGATGTGCCCTCCCTAGGGCACTGGGGAGCCATGGACAGCTGTGAGCAGGACTGGGACAGGGTCAATACTGAGATAAGAATGACCCAGTGGGGCCAGGTGGGAGACAAGAGACTGAGGCCAGGAGCCTGTGAGGAGAGGAGGGGGAGGATCCAGGTGGGACAGGGCCCAGAGTCACCATCTATGTCAGCCCATCACCACTCCCTCCCTGGCCCCTGTCACCCTCACTGATCCCCCATAGATGACAGCCGCAGCCTGTGGACACCTGAGCCAGGTCCTGTCCTGCTTCTGTCCAACACCATCCACACCTCCCAGCTCCGCAGAGGAAAAGCAGTGTCCTCAAGTGACCTGAGTAAGGCCTGCAGAACTGCCTGAGGCCGTCTCTAGTGGACTCCAGACTCTAGTCATGGGCCCCTCCTGAGCCTCACACCCCCAGGCCCTGCCTCCCAGCCCAGGCACCTGCTGCTCCCTTTGCTCCTCCCCAGAAGTGCACATCTCACCCCCCACCTGCTCAAGTGTTTGGTGCCCCCCAAGTCCCCTCCCGTCACTTTCCCATCCCTCCTTCCTGCCCAGGGTTCTACCACCTTCAGACCCTCAACCACTTCTGTGTGTGTTCACTGTTCCTGTGTGCTCAGCAGGATTGGGGCCTCACAAGAGGGGCTGCTTTGTCCGTTCACTGCACCTTCCAGGGTCAAGGGCAGTGCCAGGCCCATGGCTGATGCCCAGGGAGGCTCATGTGGAACAGAGGGGGCTTGATGGAGGAAGGGAGGGGGACGGGGGGAAGGAGCTGGCACACAGGGGTCACAGCTGGGGAGCGGTGGAGAGCGATGCCTGGCTGGCCTTCAGACCCCAGCCTAGAATTAGGGCCCCTCTTTGTTTCCTTCAAGATAGTGGTGTAGGGATGGCTCACCCCACAAGTGTCTTTGCCACCTTCCCAGAGCCCAGCACACAGCATCAGCTCTGTCACCTTCTCAGAGTAAATTCTGGCACACAAGTCACTAGACAGGAGCTTGAGGTCCACACACTGAAGCTTCCAGGGAGCAAGACTACGGGCCAAGGAAAAACAGCTGTGGCCAGATCCTTGGCCCCTCCTCCCTCAGACCAGGGAGTCCAAGCCCCAACCCCTCTTCACTCAGACTGGAGAATTCAAGCCTCCAGCCCCTCCTCCCTCAGACCCAGGAGTCCAAGCCTCAGGCCCTCCTCCCTGAGACCTGGGAGTCCAGGCCCCAGGCCCTCCTCTTTCAGATCCCGGAATCCAGGCCCCCGGCCCCTCCTCCTTCAATTCTGGGAGACCAGGCCCCTCGGCCCCTCTTCCCTCAGACCCAAGAGTACAGGGCCCCCGGCCCCTCTTTCCTGAGACCCAGGGATCCAGGCCTGCCAGCCCCTCCTCCCTGAGACCCAGGGGTCCAGGACCCCAGTCCCTCCTTCTCAGACCCAGGAGTCCAGGCCCCCTGCTCCTCCTCCCTCAGGCACAGCCGTACACTTCCTTGGTTCGATGCTGCCCCAGCCTGAGGCATAGCAGGTGCTCCCCAGCTCGGGCACCCGGGTGGGCAGCTCCAGGACCTTCACAGCATCTGTGATCTGGGCGGGCTCCGCCAGGCGCAGCAGCATGAGGTCATGGCTGGCATCAGCATTGGGCCCAAGGGTTTGACTCCTCAGGAGGCTCATATTGTAGGACGGGTGTGAGAACATGCTGCTGACTTGGGCCACCTGGCCAGTATCTTCAGACTGGAACAAGTTGTGACGGCCCAGCCAGACCTGGCTATTGCTGGGAGGAAGAGGCCGGAGGGGTTAGGAGGGGAGAGTGGTGGGAAGAGAGAGATGGAACAGGGGTGTGGGGAGGCTCAGAAGACAGAGAGAAACAGTGAGAAAAACACAAGGGTGGGGGAGAGAGTCAGGGAGAAATAGACAGTGAGGAAAGAAAGGAATGTGACAGTGTCAAAGGCAGAGAGAAACCATGGGAAAGAGAGGGCCTGAAAGGACAGAGGGAAGGGGCGGGCGGGGGGACAGGGAGAGACAGAGGAAGTAAGAGAGACAGGAGGAGAGAGAGATGCGGTGACAGGGAGAGACAGGCCCAGGGAAGGAAGGGAGAGAACAGAAGCAGGAAGGGAGTGAGGAGCACACACAGAGGAAGGGACACAGCACATCAGACAGGAAGGAGAAACTGAGGCAGAGTGTGGGGAGGAAAGGTCGGGAGGCCCGGAGGAGGGAGGAGGTGGGGGTAGGAGAGGCCTGGGAGCCCCTCAGCTGCACATGGGGCAAGGTGCAGGCTCCCCAGGGGTGGTGGCCTGGCCCACAGCCCAAGGTTGCCCCCCTTTTTCCCCCTTCTGGTTCCCCCTCTTCTCTCCTCCTCCCTCAGTTGCCCTGCCCAGCTCCAGCTGAGACCAGCCCTTTTGTGTCTCCCCAGAGTGGACGACATCCCGGAGGGGGCTAGGTAAAGGGAGAGGTGCCCTTCTCAGGCACCATGCTGGGGAGGAAGCCCTTCCTTCTCTGTGGGGGGGCATTCTTTGTTTTTCTCAGAGAAAACTGAATTAACTTTATTCTCTTCTAACTGCAGATTCAAAGTATACAGTGAACATTGTTATTTTTCTTATGAGACATAAATAAAAACACAAAAAATGGTCACTACCAAAAAAAATCTACTGTTAGTAAGATATAAAAAATATTGCCTTTGCTACAGAAGGCACAAGCCTCACTTAGTGACATATGGAGAGAGAAAAAATCCTGCAGTAGTAAATTCTTTTTTTCCTTTTTTTCAAAATCTTGTCAGAAACACTGAAGTTCCAAAGAAATGCATCAATCTACATGAAACGAAGGCAGAGGCAAAAAGTTGCAACCAGCACTGCACAACTTCGAGTGTCCAGTAGTGATGGGGGCGGGTGAGACAGAGACCCAGAGAGAGATGGCAGAGAGATGGAGGGTGAGATATACAGTGACAGAGATGGTCACAGAGAGACCCCAAGATGGACAGAGACAGGAGAGACACAGACACAGAGACAGAGACCAAAACATAGTCACACAGACACAACCAAAGCCAAGCACTGAGAGACAGAGTGAGACCAGATGCAGAGAGGAAGAAAAGTCCCAGGAGGAGGTCCTGTCCAGCTCTGCCTCCCTCCAAGGCCTGAACCAGAACCTTCCTCCTCTCACCTCAGGGGACATGCATAGCTGTTACTCTTGTGGGACACAGACACCCTCCCCCTAGGCCCTACTCACTTGTTGAGGCAGTGGGCAGCCGTGAGCACCCACTGGGGGTGCATCAGGACACCCCCGCACTGGAAATTGCTGTAATGGTACAGAGCCACCTGCCAGGGCTGAGAATGCCTCTTGCACTCCCAGCCCCCCACGATCCGGGACTGGATGGGGGGCGCAGCACCTGTGAGGGGAAGCTGGGTCAGGGTGCAGGGTTGGCTGGAGGAACAGGGGACCAGGCTAGCAGAGGAGCTGTGCTGTGGGATTGAAGGGCCAGGGCTGGGGGACTGGGGATACCTGCGAGGGGCATGGGAGGCGCCCAGGCTTCTGAGCTGGTCCTGGTGAGGAGAATTTGCCCTGAGAGCATAGGAGGCTCCGGAATAAGGGTGGAAGGCAAGAGACAAAGCAGAGAGCATGAACCAAGTTTCAGGTTGGGTCACTTGGGGGTGACTCGGGGGTCTTGGACCAAGGACACCATGGTGCAGGCCATGTGTTTTGAGAGAACAGAGAATTCTAGAATCCAGGGATCAGTGTCCCATGGAGCAGTTTGTTGCCGGGAAAAGAAAGTTTGGAAAGTTTAGGGCTTTCTGGGTTGAAAAACAGCCTGGGCCTGGGCTGAGTCTTCAAGGTTTTAAAAAGAATGCAGATTTCAAGAATCCGAGAACTAGCGGTAGTGGCTGAGGTACTCATGCTTTTCCTGGGGAAAGGGCTGCCCATTGGATGGAGAGTCTGGGGCAGAGTCAGGGAGTTAGGAGTTCAGAACCCCACTGCCAGACTGCGGGGGGGGAAGTCCATCTGTCTCAGGCCAGATAGCCCGGCTGGGAAGAATTAGGGGTGTCTGGTGAAAACTAGGTTTCCTTAGGCCAGAATTGGGAAGGCCAAGTGTCAAGGTCTGGAGGACAGGGTTGAGCACTTATACCTGCATAAGAAGTCAGTTGAGGGGCATTCCTCATCAACAAGGGTACCGGCATAATCAATGTTTGTATACCTAACCCTGAATTGTACCTCACATCTTTATAATAAAAAAAGAAGTCAGTGGATCGTGGCAGGATTTAGGGGTGCAGGAGACAGACCAGTGATCAGGGTCCAAGGGACCAATGGTACTGAGAGAGGTCCTTGGAGGATTTGAAGTCCACAAAGAAAGTCACAGAGATGGCCCAGGATCTGACCACGGATAAAGCAGCTGGGACAGGGAGATGACCAGGGAAGAGGAGAAAGAATTCAGACTTCCAGGGACCTAGTATAGAAGTGAGGACTGTGACACATGGCGTGGTGGGACTGGGGTGGGGTTCAGGGTGGGGCTGGGAGAAATGGGAATGAGCCCAGTACACTTGTCTGGGGTAGACTGTGGGTTGGAGAGACAAGGCTGGGGGAGGGAAAGGACTTTGGATGAGTCAGGGCCCGCTCCCCCTCCTGCATCCCCCCTCTGTCTCACCAGTCCACCCCAGGGACGGGATAAGAGAGAGAACCAGGAACCACATGGCGACACAGGTGTCCAGGAAAAGGTGATGGGATGGGCCTTAGGAGCCTCCCTGAAGAGCCCTATAAAGTCTCCAATCCCCTAGAGCTCCGCCCCTGCACTGCTGGTACCAACGTGCTGGCAAAGGGCCTGTCTGTGGCACTGAGATTGGGAACCCTCCCACACCCAGAGCTGTGGAAGGGAAGAGAGAGCCAGCACATGTTGTTCTGTAGAAACAAGATCACCTTGGATGCATTTCCAGGGTCCGTGGCCAGATGAGGCAGGGCCTGTAGCTCATGGAGACTTGATCTGGGAGACAGAGCCACACAAGAGAGGCCTGGATGGACAGGAACAAAGGCTGGAACAATCACTGACTCTCAACACACACACAGTCTCATATGTCTAAGTCCCAAGTTAGCTCTTTGTAACCCAAGACCCAAAGTGCTTAGAAAGACATCACCATGGGAGGCCAGGCATGGTGGCTCACATCTGTAATCCCAGCACTTTGGGAGGCAGAGGCGAGATTGCCTGAGGTCAGGGGTTTGCAACCAGCCTGGGCAAGTTGGCGAGACCTTGTCTCTACAATAAGTCAAAAAATTAGCTGGGCATGGTGGCACGCACCTGCGGTTCCAGCTATTTGGAAGGCTGAGGTGGAAGGATCACCTGAGTCCAGCAGGTCAGAACTACAATGACCATGAGCATGCCACGGGGCGACAAAGTGAGACTCTGATACAAAAAAAAAAAGACATCACCACGGGATTGTGAGACTCCCTGGTCCCTACACCACTCTGAGCCAAGATGCTTAACCTCCAGCTTCTCATCCCTGAAACAGAAGCCTTGGAATTCAGAGCTCTTTGTTTCTAGCACTCCCACACCCAGAATATAGTTCCCCAAATCTATTGGTTCTCTCATCATATAACCTTGTGGTCCCACAGGTCCACCTACCTAGCACCTTCCAATCCAGATATATGAGTCTCCCAGACCAAGCTCTCTAGTATTACAAAATCCAATGTCCTCCAAACAACATGGGTTCCAACGAACCCTCAGTCCTTGTTCTCCAGATCTGTATGCTCTGTCTGTACAACAGGAATGCCTGTTGACACATCCTCCCAGGTCAGGACTGTCCTCATGCAAAATCCAATGTCCCTTCCCCAATAAAATATCCAGCTCTCAGGAGCCAGGGTTGGGCACCTCAAGATTAAATGGCATTGAAAATCACATTTGGCCAGGCTTGGTGGCTCAGTCTGTAATCCCAGCACTTTGGGAAGCTGAGCCAAGTGGATTGCCTGAGCCCGCGGGTTTGAGACCTGCCTGGGCAACTTGGCGAGACCTTGTCTCTACAATAAATCAAAAATTAGCAGGGCATAGTAGCAAACGCCTGTAGTTCTGGCTACTTGGAAGGTTGAGGCGGAAGGATTGCCAGAACCCAGCAGCGCAAGGCTGCGGTGGCCGGGAGCATGCCACTGCCCTTCGGTCTGGGTGACAGAGTGAGATACCAACTCAAAAAAAAAAAAAAAAAAAAAAAAACAGAAAAGAAAAGAAAATCACATTTTAGGGTCTCAGAAGGGAATCAGGAACAAGAGTCCTGGTGCTTCCACTGTTAAGTCTGTAAGAGTTCCCAGATTTCTAACAAGTTACATACTTCAGCTTTTCAGTAAAACCAGAGCAGCTTACACAGATTCAGCCCCAGCTGTGTCTCAAGAATTTGATAAAATCTGCCTCTTTTTCTAGGTGAGGGACCAGATAAACTTCAAGTATAGTGAAGGAGGCACAGATACTCACAATGAAAGACCATAGGACTGAGGCAGGGGATCTACTCACCCTGTGGCCTGACCTCCCCTGCACATAGATCAAGGTCTCCCTGGGATTCATCCTGTGGAAGGAAGTTTGTGTCAGCTTGAATGAGGACTTCCTGGATTCATTGTCCCCAAGCAGGTCCTCATCCCCATCCAAACCTCAACCAACACCTGACTCAACCAAACTGAACACAACCAAACCAACCACACCACATACAACTCCAACCCAACACATCAGCCCAACCCAACATCACCCAACTCAACCCAACCTTAGGTCTTCCTCCATTTAAAATCAAACCGCCTCATGCCCATCCTCATATCCAACGCCTACCTCCATGTCTCTGAAACAAAACCTACCCTCATTCTCAGTTCAGTTCCCACACATCTCTCTCCCATCCAATATCATACCAAACCCTATTTCTTTTCTTTTTTACTGAGTTGGAGTCTCACTCTGTCGCCCAGGCTGGAGGGCAGTGGCATACTCACGGCCACCCCAGCGTCGACCTCCTGGGCTCCGGCGATCCTTCCGCCTCAGCCTTCCAAGTAGCTGAAACTACAGCTGCGCGCTACCACACCCAGATAATTTTTTATTGGTCGTAGCGACAGATCTCGCCAAGTTGCCCGGGCTGGTCTCGAACCCGCGGGCTCAAGCAATCCACTCGCTTCGGCCTCCCACAGTGCTGGGATGACAGGGTGAGTCACCGAGCCCGGCCCAAACCCTATTTCCACCTCGAATCCATATCATCCCAAACCACCCCGGTATCACAATCCCAAACCCAGCCCAAGCACAATCCTACCTCGCCTCTAGCCTAACTCCAACCTGACCCTCCATGCTAGCTGGCCTTCACACTCCATCTTCAATCCTATACCCAGCACTTTATCTGGCCAAAGGAAACCTTCCACAGCCCTCCTCTCCACTCCTGATGGCCCCCTTGGGCCTCCGTCCGCCACGCCCGCACACACCATGGTGGACGGTCCCTGTCACAAGTTGTGGCTGAGATAACGCCGATGTCGCACAAGGCATCGTATCGGAGAGACTCCCAGGGGAGGACAGAGGCTAGGGCAATTTCAGGGCCCTGTGCCCTCCCTCCAGAAGCCCTTTAGATTTCATGGATGGCGATATCTGGCCATTCTCAAGCACCTTTCAACCGTGGCTCCCTGAGGTCCCGGGTGCCTTGTCTGACACCAGGCCGAAGCCAGGCCCTAGGCAAGCCGCAGCCATTAGAAGGCCGACGTCTGCGGCGCCTGGGGAGGCACGTGACTGGGATGGGCGGGGGCGGGGCTAGTCGCAGCCACATGACGTCACGGGGCGACCACGCCTCCCAGCGCAGATGTGGGTGATACCTGGTATTGAACGCAAGGCCGTCGGGACGTCGCGCATGCGCGGATGGTGCTCGTCCAGGCACTCCCTGGTGCAGTTAGGAAGACCGGTGGCTTACCCTCAGGAGTAGGTGGAAAGATCAGAGAATGGGCAACCCTTGGTCCTCCAAGCCTTTGGGAGACAAGAGATCCCATTATCTTCACCCCAAACCCTGAAACCAGTGGTTCCAGCCCCTGCCCCTCAAGGACCAAGGTGCCCAAAGCCACACACACCCAGAATTCAACCCCTCGGGATTCCAGCCTTACCTTCCCCGGGATGCAGGATTCTTGGATCTCTCAGCCTGGGCAACATAGCAAGACCCCCTCTCTACAAAAAACAAAAAAAATCTGTTTTAATTAGCCAGGTGGGATGGCACGCACCTGGAGTCCCAGCTACTCAGGAGGCTGAGGCCAAAGGATCACCTGAATCCAGGAAGTCCAGGCTGTGGTGAGCTGTGATTGTGCCATTGAACTCCAGTATGGACAGCAGAGTGAGACCCCAACGCAAAAAAAAAAAAAATTCTTAGACCCCCTAGGCCATGCTCACATCAGTACCTCAGGAGATGGGACCTCAGCTGTCTCCTACTCTGTCTCTCCAGGACCTGAGTGTTCAAAACCCAGATCCCTCCTCACCCAGGACCTTGACCTCCAGCCCTTTCCTCTTTCAGAGCCCAGGAGTCTGGGCCCCCTCCCCTCTCAAACTCAGAAGGTCTGGCCCCCAGACATGTCCCTTCAGGATCCTGAATACTACCCTGATTCTGGGTCTGGCATGGGCTGCTTCCAGACATGGCCGGGCACTGGGCCTAGGGCCTTGGTTAGGCCTGGAGGGGCAGGATGTGGCCCACATGGTGTGTGATGGTAGAATGTTGAGATTGTCCTGCAGGTGAGGTTGGAAGGCTCTGGCCGAACAGTGTTGGGAGACAGTTCTCTATTGTTCTCTCACACTTCTGTGTGTCTTCCGAGAAAAGCCAATAATACCCTTTTTTCCTGGACTGACTTTCTTAGGATGTTTATACAACAGGCAGCCTTTGCAAGATGGTATCTCCCTCAGATCCAAATTTGCTTACTTACTGTCCTAGATAATAAAGATAATGTCTCTGTTACAACAAATCTGTTTACTGTCCAGGACAATAAACACAATACATCACTCCAGAGTAGATCTGTTTTCAGTCCAGGATAATAAAGATATATCTCCATCAGGGTCAAAGGCTGGGCAGGCTTTTGAGTTGTCCCCTTTTAAGACTGAGGTTTCTGGCCAAGTCCACTGGTTCAGACCTGTAATCCTAACACTTTGGGAGGCATAGGCAGAAGAATTGCTTGAACCTAGGAGTTCAAGACTAGCCTGGGCAACATAGGGAGACATCATCTCTACAAAAAAAAATCAAAAAAGTACTCAGGTGTGGTGGCATGTGCCTGTAGTTCCAGCTTCTCAGAGACTGAGGCAGGAGGATTGCTTGAGCCCAAGATGTCAAGGCTGTGGTGAGCTATGATCATGCCACTGTACTCCAGCCTGGGCAACAGAGTGAGACTCTGCCTCAAAAAATAAAGAATTGAGGATACCTGAGTTCAGGTTCCTCACCAGTGGCACAAACCACTGTGTACACGGAATCTACCTGAACTGCTCTGATCACCCCCATAAGATTGGTGGGGGCAAGGCGAACTCATTTGAACATGAACCTCATGCTGCCTGCTGAGCTGTGAGTAATAAAATCCTTTGTCTCTGACCAGGAGTCTCATGGGTTCTGCCAGCATTCATGAAACAGAGGCAGGTTATTTGTTTGCAAGTTGGTAAAATGTCAGCCCCTGCAGAGTCCTTGACAAACAGTTGGACACTGAAGCTGCACCTGACAAACTGTTCCCAGATGTA